GGTAAGTGCTAACTATATATATTCTTATTTTAATATTGGTGTATAATACCTACAAGATGAGGAAGTACATATATGTGTGTAGCATGTGAGTTCCATCCTGAGGGACTGATTACCGCATCTTCCGTTGTCTTCTGTGTATAGTTCTGCAAGGTACAGAGACTGATTATTTTATTGTCTACTGTCTCTGGTTTCATCAGTTTTCAATATTCTCTGTAATGAGTCGATAAAGCCACTGGTTGGCGAAACGTCCTCAAATAAAGATACCCAGGTGTTGCACATGTGTCTGATTCTTCACTCACATTCTTGCATGCAACTGAGTGGTTGGTTAATTACACTTGAAGCCTATCGCCTACATGAGGCTCATTAATTAAGGCTGGATGCCACATGTTCACATGTTCAAGAGTATTTTAATCCCTAAAATAGGGATTAAAGTAAACTCTTGAGCATGCATACAATGAGATACAGGGTATATACCATTGTATATACCCTGACGTGTTCATAGGAGTTAACTCAGTGGTAGCAGGTGCGCGCCTGCTGCTCCAGTAGTAAGGGACTGGTCCCACACTTTCTTAAAAAAAACGGAATCCATTTTTCTTGGAGTATTGTAGAAAATTTTAAATAGAATAAAACTTAAAAAATACTGAAAAAAATATTGAAAACTCTGTATTTTTATGGGATTTTTAACTCTCACGAGTTTAGTGAACCCTTAAATGTTGCACGACTTCCTGCCTGAGCCGGTACGTTACTCTCCTCTCAACAAGCTTTCACTAAGACTTCTTTTGTTTAAAACGTCAGAACGCCTTATCCGATCGACTTCAACTTTTCAACCCTAGTCATCTGTTACTAAGTGAAGGTTCGTGGAACGAACGACAAGTGCAGGTACCCTCTGCTCAGTTTTATTTAGACTATTCCCGAAATTGATTTCCATGATATAACATTATTATCATTATCAAAACTAAACGCTAAACCCATCAGGGTCATACATCACTGATGAGATAACATAAAAAGACTTCTTTGAACTTAGTGTGCTGGTATATTTCAGAGTATTGATCTTTCTGGGATAACAAAAGGATGTAAAGTAAAAGGACACAAGTGCAACTAATGTGACATTTATTGTGGCAACGTTTCGCTCTCCAGGAGCTTTATCAAGCCATTACAAACAATACATGGACACAGAGGGTATATAAAGGCTCAGAGTGAGGTGAATACTAGTGAGGTACCATTTCGATGTTCACTAGTGGAGGTAGTAGTAGTAGTAGTAGTAGTAGTGGTAGTGACAAAAGTAATACAATATGGTAGAGCAATTAATTCGTACATGAGTAAAAGGATATAAAAGCTATTACTTGGGTAACATAAAAATAGGTTGGACAAATATAAACTGGAATGAGGCAGGTTGTTTCAGTGTTCACTCTCTGTGCTTTGTGTAGTATAACAGGAGAGACTATGTGATGGCAGGGTTTACTGTTTTCAGGAGGATTCTTGCTAAGACTTCGGAGATGGTGAAGCTGCCGTTGTTTTGTTTAATTGTATTCGAAACAGCGATCAGTGCTGATTCAAGGCACTTGCGTGTGCGGAAATTAGTTTCTTTTATCACTAATTGGGCGTCGGCCTGGAGAAGTTCAGTTCCATAGTCAGGAACTATCTGACTATGGAACTGAACTTCTCCAGGCCGAGGGACTGACAACCTCAAATTCTACGACTACAAGGGTGATGGACTGATTACATCGTCTTCACATCTCTACTGTTCCTGCCTATTTTCTGTATTCGACTGAAGAAGCCTACTGTGTAGGCGAAACGTTTCGGAATAAAGTTGTCTAACTGTTGCATATGTGTCTTACCTAACAATGTTTGTAGTTACAGCAGCAGAGCTGTGCTGGTAGTGTCCAGTCTTCAATGTTTGTAGTTACAGCAGCAGAGCTGTGCTGGTAGTGTCCAGTCTTCAATGTTTGTAGTTACAGCAGCAGAGCTGTGCGGTAGTGTCCAGTTCTTCAGTGTTTGTAGTTACAAGCAGCAGAGCTGTGCTGGGTAGTGTCCAGTCTTCAATGTTTGTAGTTACAGCAGCAGAGCTGTGCTGGTAGTGTCCAGTCTTCAGTGTTTGTAGTTACAGCAGCAGAGCTGTGCTGGTAGTGCCCAGTCTTCAATGTTAGTAGTTACAGCAGCAGAGCTGTGCTGGTAGTGTCCAGTCTTCAGTGTTTGTAGTTACAGCAGCAGAGCTGTGCTGGTAGTGTCCAGTCTTCAATGTTTGTAGTTACAGCAGCAGAGCTGTGCTGGTAGTGTCCAGTCTTCAATGTTTGTAGTTACAGCAGCAGAGCTGTGCTGGTAGTGTCCAGTCTTCAATGTTTGTAGTTACAGCAGCAGAGCTGTGCTGGTAGTGTCCAGTCTTCAGTGTTTGTAGTTACAGCAGCAGAGCCGTGCTGGTAGTGTCCAGTCTTCAGTGTTTGTAGTTACAGCAGCAGCAGAAGCTGTGCTGTAGTGTCCAATCTTCAATGTTTTAGTTTACAGCAGCAGAGCTGTGCTGGTAGTGTCCAGTCTTCAATGTTTGTAGTTAAAGCAGCAGCAGAGCTGTGCTGGTAGTGTCCAGTCTTCAATGTTTGTAGTTACAGCAGCAGAGCTGTGCTGGTAGTGTCCAGTCTTCAATGTTTGTAGTTACAGCAGCAGCAGAGCTGTGCTGGTAGTGTCCAGTCTTCAATGTTTGTAGTTACAGCAGCAGAGCTGTGCTGGTAGTGTCCAGTCTTCAATGTTTGTAGTTACAGCAGCAGCAGAGCTGTGCTGGTAGTGTCCAATCTTCAATGTTTGTAGTTACAGCAGCAGAGCTGTGCTGGTAGTGTCCAGTCTTCAATGTTTGTAGTTACAGCAGCAGAGCTTTGCTGGTAGTGTCCAGTCTTCAGTGTTTGTAGTTACAGCAGCAGAGCTGTGCTGGTAGTGTCCAGTCTTCAATGTTAGTAGTTACAGCAGCAGAGCTGTGCTGGTAGTGTCCAGTCTTCAGTGTTTGTAGTTACAGCAGCAGAGCTGTGCTGGTAGTGTCCAGTCTTCAATGTTTGTAGTTACAGCAGCAGCAGAGCTGTGCTGGTAGTGTCCAGTCTTCAGTGTTTGTAGTTACAGCAGCAGAGTTACGTTAGTAGTGTCCAGTCTTCAATGTTTGTAGTTACAGCAGCAGAGTTACTTAGTAGTGTCCAGTCTTCAGTTTGTAGTTACAGCAGCAGAGTTACGTTAGTAGTGTCCAGTCTTCAGTGTTTGTAGTTACAGCAGCAGAGTTACGTTAGTAGTGTCCAGTCTTCAGTGTTTGTAGTTACAGCAGCAGAGTTACGTTAGTAGTGTCCAGTCTTCAGTGTTTGTAGTTACAGCAGCAGAGTTACGTTAGTAGTGTCCAGTCTTCAGTGTTTGTAGTTACAGCAGCAGAGCTGTGCTGGTAGTGTCCACTCTTCAATGTTTGTAGTTACAGCAGCAGCAGAGCTGTGCTGGTAGTGTCCAGTCTTCAATGTTTGTAGTTACAGCAGCAGCAGAGCTGTGCTGGTAGTGTCCAGTCTTCAATGTTTGTAGTTACAGCAGCAGAGTTATGTTAGTAGTGTCCAGTCTTCAATGTTTGTAGTTACAGCAGCAGCAGAGCTGTGCTGGTAGTGTCCAGTCTTCAATGTTTGTAGTTACAGCAGCAGAGTTATGTTAGTAGTGTCCAGTCTTCAATGTTTGTAGTTACAGCAGCAGAGCTATGTTAGTAGTGTCCAGTCTTCAATGTTTGTAGTTACAGCAGCAGCAGAGCTGTGCTGGTAGTGTCTAGTCTTCAATGTTTGTAGTTACAGCAGCAGAGTTATGCTAGTAGTGTCCAGTCTTCAGTGTTTGTAGTTACAGCAGCAGAGTTATGCTAGTAGTGTCCAGTCTTCAGTGTTTGTAGTTACAACAGCAGAGTTATGCTAGTAGTGTCCAGTCTTCGGTGTTTGTAGTTACAACAGCAGAGTTATGCTAGTAGTGTCCAGTCTTCAGTGTCTGTAGTTACAACAGCAGAGTTATACTGCTGGTGTTGTGTAGACAGCCTGTACTGTCTGCACAGACAGCCCATGCTGTCTGCCAGCTTAGTTCATATTTCGCGCCACTCAGGTGCTGCCATCTATAGGCCTTGCCACTTCAGTATGCCCAGACTTGCCTCGACCTCACTCACACAGCGGCCTGGCATCAACACACAAGGCCTCCCAGCTCTCTCTCGTGGGCATGGCCCTGCCCGGGCCATGGGCACAAACACACAAGCCTGTGTAACCCACCACTACTTAACAATAAAGTAAGAAGCCTCCGAAGACGTATATCATTTAACTACCCGCTCTACAGCTACCAAACAGCCCCGTTATAAATGGTACCAGCGGTGGTCGCAGCGTTGTGTTTACCCTGGAGAGAGGAAGGAGAGGTATGAAGTCCACCTTCATTTCATCACCCTACACAAGAAGCATCCGTCTCTCAACGAGTTATCCTGATGTCGTGTCTGCACGTTTGAGCATCCAGACACAGGTACAAGCAGGATCCAGCCGAAATTTATCGAAATTCTCCGAGAAATGTGAGTGGCGTCACAGTGACCCCACGCTACAGCGTCCCAGTGACCCCACGCTGTTTCTCAAGTCACGTGTTCAGCGTCACTTGTATGTTGCTGTTGTTGTTCAGCTCAGCACAGCTGTTTCAGCAAGCCAGAGGTGAGTTTTGTGGTGATTTCTGCGTCCAGTGTGAGCTTCTCCACGTGTTTGTGGGTGGAGGAGGAGGAAGAGGAAGTGGCTGTTCCTCACCTTGCCCATGCCCGCCCTGCCATACACACGCACGCTCCTCGCCGCTAGCCTACCATATACCACTCACCACTGCCCACTCCCTCTGCTGTGTTTTCTGCTGTTTTTCGTATGAATTCATTGCCAGTGCTGTGTATCCGAGTGCCCGAGGCCACTCGAAGCTGCGTGGATCAGCATCCCACGTAGATTACGACGTCACGTGCGTGTGGCCGATGTCACGTAGACCTACAAAGCCACGTG